CAGACCAATAACCAGCAAAGAAATTGAGTCAATAATCAAAAAACTTTCAACAAGCAGAAGTCCAGGGACAGATGGCTTCATGAAAGGCAAATTCTACCAAATATTTAAAGAAGAGTTAATACCTGTTCTTCTCAAACTCTTCCAAAAAATAGAATTGGAAGGAAAATTTCCAAACTCATTATGTGAAGCCAGCATTACCCTGATAACGAGACCAGATGAAGACATCACTAAAAGAACTACAGGCCAATATCCCTGATAAATATGGATGCAAAGATTCTCAATAAAATACTAGCAAATTGAATCTATTAAAAGAATCATTCATGACAGGCAAGTGAAATTTATTCCTGAGCTGCAAGACTGGTTCATTATCTGCAAATCAATTGACATGATACACCACATTAATAAAACAAAGGATAAGAATCACAATCCTTTCAATAGATGCTGAAAAAGCATTTGACAAAGTACAACATCCATTCATAATAAAAACTCTTAATAGAGCACAGTAGGAAGAAACATTTTCCTCAACATAATAGAGACCATCTATGAAAATCCCACAGCTAATATCATCCTTGGGTGGAAAAACTGCAATCTTTTCCTCTATGGTCAGGAAGAAGACAGGATGTCCACTCGAACCACTGTTATTTAACATGGTTTGGAAGTCCTAACACAACAATCAGACAACAAAATGAAATAAAAGTCATCTAAATTGGCAAGGAAGAAATCAAACTTTCACTGTTTGCAGATGTCATGATACTCTGTATAGAAAACTTGAAAAAACCCACCAAAAAAATTACTAGAACTGATACATGAGTTCAGTTGCAGGATACAAAATCAACATACCTAACTCTGTTGCATCTCTATACACCTATAATGAAGCAGCAGAAAGAGAAATCGATCCCATTTACAACTGCACCAAAAGCCGAAAGCTACCTTGGATAAACCTAACCAAAGAGGTGAAAGACCTGTACTCTGAAAACTATAAACACTGATGAAACACTTATGAAAGAAATTGAAAATGACACAAAGAAATGGAAAGACATTCTATGCTCATGGTTTGGAAGAATAAATATTGTTAAAATGTCTGTACTACCCAAAGCAATCTATACATTTAATGCAATCCCTATCAAAATGCCAACCCATTTTTCACAGAACTAGATCAAAGAATCCTAAAATTTATGGAACCACAAAAAGACCAAAAATAGACAAAGCAATCTTGGACAAAAAAAAGCAAAGCTGGAGGCATCACAATTCCAGACTTCTATTTATATGACAAAGCTGTAGTAATCAAAAAGTATGGTCCTGGCACAGAAATAGACATAGATCAATGGAACAGAATAGAAACCCAGAAACGAACTCATGAATGGTGAATTAATCTTTGGCAAACCAGGAAAGAATATCTAAAGGGAAAAAGACAGTCTCTGACAAATGATGTTGGGAAAATTGGACAGCCACATGTAGAATGAAACCGGGCCACTTTCTTACACCAAACACAATAAATTCAAAATGGACTAAAAACTTAAATGTGAGACCTGAAAGTATAAAAATCCTAGAGAACAAGGGCAGTAACCTTTTTGACATCAGCTGTAGCAACTTCTTTCTAGATATGTCTCCTGCAGGAAGGGAAACAAAAACTATTGGGAATATATCAAAATCAAAAGCTTCTGCACAGCAAAGGAAACCATCAACAAAACTAAAAGGCAACCTATGGAATGGGAGAAGATATTTACAAATGACATATCTGATAATGGGTTAATATACAAAATATATAAAGAACTTATAAAACTCAGCATCCCCAAAAATGAATAATCCAATAATCCAATTAAAATGGGCAAAGGGCATGAATACACATTTTTTCCAAAGAAGACATAACAAACGCAAACAAACAACCAATGAAAAGGTGCACAACATCACTCATTAGGGAAATGAGAATCAAAACTACAATGGAACATCACCTCATACCTGTCAGAATAGCCAAGATAAAAAACACAAGAAGCAACAAGTGTTGGTGAGGATGTGGAGAAAAAGGAGCCCTCTTGCATAGTTGGTGGAAGTGAAAATTGGTGTAATTACTGTGGAAAATAGTATGGAGGTTCCTCAAGAAGTTTAAAATAGAACTACCCTATGATTCGGCAATTGTATTGCAAGGCATTTACCCAAAGAATACAAATACACTAATTCAAAGGGATACATGCACCCCAATATTTATAGCAGCATTGCCTGTAATAGCCAAATTATGGAAGCAGCCCAAATATCCATTAACTGATGAATGAATAAGGAAGAGACGGTGTATATATACACACAATGGAATATTACTTGGCCATCAAAAAGAATGAACTCTTGCCATTTGCAGTGACATGGATGGAGCTAGACAGTATTATGCCAAACAAAATATGTCAGAGAAAGACAAATATCATATTTCACTCATATGTGGAATTTAAGAAACAAAATACCTAAGCAAAGGGTAAAAAAGAGAGAGAGGCACACCAAGAAATAGACTTCTAACTATAAGGAATAAACTGATGGTTACCAGAGGGAAGGTGGTTGGGGGGATGGGTGAAATAGGTGATGGAGATTAAGGGATGAACTTGTGATGAGCATCTGGTGTTGTATGTAAGTGTTGAATCACTATATTGTACACCTGAAGCTAATATAACTGTTAATCAACTGGAATTAAAACAAAAACTTAAAAAATAGTTTTATATTTTCCTGCCTCCTTTCCTAGACTGAAGAAAGCAGGATTTAGCCTGCTTTGTTGAAGCTACCATCCAAATGCCACCAAGAACACAGAAATAAGGAAAATAGTGAGGGTTTTTTTTTTTTTTTTTTTGCTTTATGCAGTGGGGAGAACATACTCCAGAGAACCTCAGGAGTGCCCCAGTCATGGGAGGTTGGGAGGGTGTCTTACAGAGTTTGAGCTTGTGCTGGATAATTCTGAAGAAGGAGTTAGAGAAATGGGATCAGTTCAGAATAGGATATCTCAAAAGTTTTATTTAGGAGGTGGAACTTAAAATAGAGCTCTCATGGATAAAGAAATAGCAATAATGCAAAGAAAGGAGATACCAATTAATATCTGATGTTGAGTTATTTTGGGAGTCATGAAGGGAATTTGTCTATGTCTCCTTATGAGTGTTGTTTTTACTTTCTCAAAATAAAAAAAATTACTTCAAACTGCATTAGGAGGAAATTACATTTACTGAAAACCCATTATATACCAAACATTTCCCAAGCAATTTATGTATATTAACACATGTAATTCTCACAACAACCCTAGGAAAGAAGTTGTTATGCTCTCAGTGTACAAGTAAGTAAATTAAGATACAGAGATTTATATAATTTGTTCAAGTTCATGCTACCAGTAAGGATACAACCAGAATTCAAATTGAGACAATTTTTTTCCAGAGCATAAGTAGTGCACTGTATTTAAGTATCTGTACAAAGTACCTTTCCCTCTATTCTTAGGCCAGAATTAAAGTCTTATTTTTTTTAAAGATTGTATTTATTTATTCATGAGAGACACACACAGAGAGAAAGAGACAGAGACATAGGCAGAGGGAGAAGCAAGTTCCATGCAGGGAGCCGATGTGGGACTGACTCCATCCCAGGATCCAGGATCATGCCCTGAGCCGAAGGCAGGTGCTAAACCACTGAGCCACCCAGGCGTCCCGTAAATTCCTAATTTTAATTTTTTTTCCTGATGGTTTAATGATGACTAATTTCAGAGCATCCCTGCAGTCGACTAGTAGGAAAAATCAAGGAGCTATATAGGAAAGGCTCCATTGCTTGATTGTGGATAGAGCCCAGAATCCTTAAGCCTTTGGAAGATTAGAAATGAGCTGAGATGCTCTGGAAAGCAGCAAACAGGGTGAGGAGAAGCAGGGAGGTCCTGCGGAAGAGAAGTGCATAAATAGGATTTGAAATCGGATGGACTGGAGTCTGAATCCTTTAGCCAACCATCATTCACTAGTTGTATGGCCTCAAGTGTCCTAATAGTTAATGATTTAAATTAAAAAAAATTTGAGTATAGTTGACACACAATGTTACGTTAGTATCTGGTGTACAGTGTAGTGATTCGATAAATTTATATATCATACTATGTTCACCATAAGTGTAGCTGCCATCAGTTACCACACAACAGTATTAGAATATTATTGACTGTATTCCCTATGCTGTGCCTTTTATCTCCATGACTTGTTCATTCCATACCCGGAAGCCCTCCCACTCCCCTTCACCCATATTTCCCATTCCTTGTCCTCCTGCTCTCTGGTAACCGTCAGTTTATTCTCCATATTTATAGGTCTGTTTCTGCTTTCTGTTTCTTTATTTGTTTGTTTGTTTGTTTTTTCTTTTTTTTGGATTCTACATACGAGTGAAATCATCTGGTATTCGTCTTTCTCCGTAACACTTGACTTAACGTTATATCCTCTAGGTCCATCCATATTGTTGCAAACGGCACTATCACATCCTTTATTATGGCTGCATAATATCCTATTTTAGTCTATCTTGAGAAATAAAAAGCAGGAGGCATCACAATTCCAGGTTTCAAGATGTACTATAAAGCTGTAGTAATCAAAAGAGTATGGTGCTGGCACAAAAGCAAACACATAGGTCAGTGGAACAGAGAGCCCAGAAATAAACCCACAATTATGTGGTCAATCAATCTATGACTAAGGAGACTACAGTGTGGAAAAGACAGTCTCTCCAATAAACTATCAGTAAAATAATATGAAATTTATCCACCCCATAGGTTCTTTTTTTCCTGTGAAGAAAAAAATTTTTTATTTTTTTAAATTTTTTTTAGAAAAAAAATTTTAAAAAGTACATCAAGTATTTAGTACAGTGTTTGTAGTATGGTTCTCTAGTACCATAGAGTAGGGGACTGAGGGATTAATATGTGGTAAATGCTGATATTATCTGATACTGGCATCCTGAAATCTCCATAAGCACCCTGAGTTTTCTTTAGTCAGGTTATATCCCTTGATTCTCTTCTCTCTGTGTTCCAGGTGTTGTTTCATATGTTAGTGAAGACATGGAAGGGTTCAATCCTCTTCTCCACTTATTTTACCTGAGCTCCAGTTATCAGTCCTGTGTGGGAACTTTGATTGCCCCTCAGTGGGTGTTGACAGCAGCACACTGCTTTTTACCGTAAGTGATGGGGATCTGTCCATTTGGCTCCAAGGCTGCAGGGCTCCGTATATTAATGTGTGTTGGTTTATATACATATTGGTGTATACCTGCAATGATAACCTCGTGGTATATACCTCTAGAGTATATAATTAGGAGTGGCATTGTTGGACCATAGAGGATGCAAATGTTCACTTTTGCACATCTGCCAGCAATTTATAAGCATTTTCCTACATTGGGTATTGTCAAACTTTTTTGTTATTTTGCTGGTTGTGTCAAATTTCTTGTTACACTCTTAATTTTATCTTTATCAGTAGTTGATGATTGGCATAACTTGTTTCTTCCTTTCCTTTTCTACCCTACTCCTTCTGCTAATAGAGTTTCTTCTGGGAAATACTGTTTCATGGTCTTTGAACATTTCATGAATTAAAAAAAATTGCTTTGTAGGACTTCTATAAATGTTCTAGTTATTACTCTTTTGCCAATTACATATGTTGAAAATACCTTCTTCCAGTTTGTGGCTCAGTCTTCTCTTTATGTGTATTTTGGCAAAAAGAGCTCTTTACTTGAGTATAATTCAATTTAACACTTAAATTGTCAGTCTTTTATGGTTATTTGTGGTTATTGAGTCTTTTTTAAAAATATTTTATTTATTTATTCTTGAGAGACAGAGAGAGAGAGGCAGAGCATAGGCAGAGGGAGAGAAGCAGGCTCCATGCAGGGAGCCTGATGTGGGATTCGATCCCGGGATTCCAGGATCACGCACTGGGCCAAAGGCAGGCGCTAAACCACTGAGCCACCCAGGTGCCCCATGGTTATTGAGTATTGTGCCTAGTTGAAAACACCTTTATGATACCAAGATCAGAAAAGATACTTATTTCTAGAGTATGTATGTATGTATGTATGTATTTATTTATTTATTTTAAAAAAGATTTTATTTATTTATTAGAGAGAGAGAGAGAGAGAACACAAGCTGAGGGGGCAGTAGAAGCAGAGGGAGAAGCAGACTCCTTGATGAGCAGGGAGCGTGATCTGGGGCCCGATCCCAGGACCCTGACATCATCATCTGAGCCAAAGGCAGATGCTTTAACCAACTGAGCCACCCAGGTGTCCCTATTTCTAGAGTTTTTAAAGTTTTGATTTAATATTTAAATATTTTTGTCATTTGGAATTGATTTTTATGAATGATGTGAAGTAGGAATCCAGTTTCATTTTTTAAAACATAGTAAGCTAAGTATCCAAATATGATTTATCTAATGGTTCCTTCTTCAGTGATGTGCAGCACCACTTATGTCACCTATCAAAGTTCTTCTATCTGAAAAAACAAAGTTTTTCTATCTGTGCATGGGTCTGTTTCTGGGCTCTCCCTACTGCTGCGTTGGTTTATTTATTATGGACCAATACCTCAATATCTTAATAATTATGACTTTATTATAATTTGTGATGTCTGATAGGGTAGGCCAGCCATGTTTTTCTTTATCAGGAACACTTAAGTATTTTTAAATAGATTTTAAAATCAACTTCTCAAGTTCTATGAAAAAGTTTGTTGGGATTTATTTGGAATTGCTTTGATTTGTTGTATTAGTTGGGAAGAATTAATATTTTTCTGGTCATGATTATTCCTAGCCATGGATCTGGCATGTCTCTCTACTTATTTTGGTTTCCCTTTGATGCATTTCAATAGTTTTATATTATCTCATACATGTCTTATACATATCTTATTAAATTTATTCTTAAAATGCTTTATATTTTTCTATTATATTTTAATTGAGGTACTTTCAGAAAATTATATTTTCTGCTTATTAATGATGATGGAAATGCAGTTGGCATTCATAAATTTATCTAATGGCTTTAGCTTTGTTATACTCTCTTACTATTTCTAGTAATTTATGTATATGTTCCTGTGGATTTTCTGTTCACTAACTTTGAAAAGAGCCATTTTCATTATTATTTTAATTCTCAATAATTTAAAAAAATGTCCACATGATTAAATCTTTCATTCATAAGTTTAGAATTTGGAAGGATAAATTTTGGGGGGTTAACTTTCCAAATTAAAAAAATATTTGAGTTCTAGTTTAATTGTTTTATGTTCATAGAGTATGATCAATGTGATACTGATTCTTTGAAAAGAATTAAGACTTGCTTTCTGGACTAGTATACAGTCAATTTTTATAAATCCTCATGTGTTTGAAAGAATGCACACTCATTTTTTTGGGTAGAAGTTTCTATATATATCAAACTTTAATTGTGTAGTTCAAGTCTTCAGTATCCTTACTAAGTTTTTTCTTAATATCTATAATGTATAGATTTATGTTGAAATATTCTTCTGTATTTAGATTTATCAAAATAGTTCTATAAATTTATTACTTTTTGTTTTTTAAAAATATTTTTAGGCTATTTTGTTAAGTATATGTAAATGTAGGTACTTTGTGCATTCCCAGTAAATCAAAGCTATTACTATATGTTATTGCTTTCTCTCATATAGATAATATTTTTTGTCTTAAATCCTATTTGTCAGTTATTAATATGCCAATGCTGTTCCTTTTTTGGTTGGTTAGTATTATCCTAGTATATCATTTTATATCTTTTCTACCCTTCTGTATCTTTTTGATTTAAATATGTCTATTAATTTACATATAGTAAGATTTTTAAAAATGCAATTTACAATTTCTATCTTTTAACTGGCAAGTTTCGGCCATTTGTATTTATTTTGATTATTGCTATATTCAGACTAATTTCTACCTATTTTGAATTTCTACTCTTTTTATATTTGTCTAAAATACTTTTGTTTTATTATTTAATATTTTAGGTACCTTTTAATTCTTCTTTCATTTTTATGAGGAATATACAACCTATTCTTGTAGCCATTGTTTTATAAATTTTAATATAGAGATTTAATGTAATAGTTCAAAGTTAAAGAATATTCACATGCCCTTCTTTTTTTATTTCAAGTTTTCATTTAATTTCTAGTTAGTTAACATATATGGTAAATTTGGTTTCAGATGTAGAATTTAGTGATTCATCATATATAACACTCAGTGCTCATCACAAGTGACCTCCTTAATACCCATCATCCATTTAGCCCATCCCCTGCTCACCTCCCTCCATCAGCCTTCAGTTTGTAGGGTAGTTAAGAGTCTCTTATGGTTTGCTTCCCTCTCTCTTTTTTCCCCTTCCCTTAAGTTCATCTGTTTTATTTCTTAAATTCCACATGAGTGAAATCATATGGTATTTGTCTTTCTTTGACTGACTTATTTCCCTTAGCATAATACTCGCTAGCTCCATCTACATTGTTGCAAATGGCAAGATTTCATTCTTTTTGATGGCTGAGTAATGTTCCAGTGTGTGTGTGTGTGTGTGTGTGTGTGTGTGTGTGTGTGTATCTTTGTCCATTCATCAGTCTGGACATTTGGGCTTTTCCCATAATTTGGCTATTGTTGATAATGATGTTATAAATACCAGGGTGCATGTGCCCTTTCAAATCAGTATTTTTGTATCCTTTGGGCAAATACTAGTAGCACAATTGCTGGATCATAGGGTAGTTCTATTTTTAATTTTAGGGAACCTCCACACTGTTTTCCAGAGTGGCTGTACCAGTTCGCATTCCCACCAACAGTGTAAGAGGGTTCCTGTTTCTCCACACCCTCACCAACATATGTTGTTTCCTGTCTTGTTAATTTTAGCCATTCTCACCAGTGTAAAGTGGTATCTCATTGTGGTTTTGATTTGTATTTCCCTGATGACAAGTGATCAGGAGCATTTTTTTCATGTGCTTCTTGGCCATGTGTATGTCTTCTTTGGAGAAATGTCTGTTCATGTCTTCTGCCCATTTCTTGACTGATTTGTTTGTTTTTGAGTGTTGAGTTTGATAAGTTCTTTTTTTTAATTTTAAGAGGTGTGTGTGTGTGTGTGTATATATATTTAAGATTTATTTATTTATTCATGAGAGACACAGAAAGAGGTAGAGACATAGGCAGAGGGAGGAAAAGCAGGCTCCTCACAGGGAGTCTGATGTGGGACTCAATCCTGGATCCTGGGATTATACCCTGAGCTGCAGGCAGATGCTCAACTGCTGAGTCACACAGGCATCCCGAGTTTGATAAATTTTTTATAGATCTTGGATACTAGCCTTTTATCTGATATGTCATTTGCAAATATCTTCTCCCATTCTGTAGATTGCCTTTTAGTTTTAGTTCCAATAGTTCACTATTGCTTTTGTCCCTTGCCTTTATAGATGTGTCTTGCAAGAAGTTGCTGTGGCCAAGCTAAAAAAGTTTGCTGTCTGTATTCTCCTCTAGGATTTTGATGGATTCCTGTCTCACATTTAGGTCTTTCATCCATTTTGAGTTTATCTTTACGTATGATATAAGAGAATGATCCAGTTTCATTGTTCTACATGTGGCTGTCCAATTTTCCCAACACCATTTATTGAAATAACTTTTTTCCATTGGATATTCTTTCCTGCTTTATCGAAGATCAGTTGACCATACAGCTGAGAGTCCATTTCTGGGTTCTCTGTTCTGTTCCATTGGTCTATGTGTTTGTTTTTGTGCCAGTACTATACTGTCTTGATGATCACAGCTTTGTAATACAGCTTGAAGTCAGGTATTGTGATGCCCCCAGCTTTGGTTTCCTTTTTCAATATTTCTCTGGCTATTTGGGGTCTTTTCTGGTTCCAAACCTTAGGATTGTTTGTTCCAACCCTGTGAAGGAAGTCCATGGTATTTTGATAAGGATTGCATTGAATGTATACATTGCTCTGGGTACACATTTTCACAATATTCATTCTTCCAATCCATGAGCATGGAATGTTTTCCCATCTCTTTGTGTCTCCCTCAATTTCTTTCATAAGTATTCTGTAGTTAATAAAGTACAGATCCTTTACCTCTCAGGTTAGGGTTTTTTCCTAGGTATCTTATGGTTTTGAGAGCAATTGTAATTGGGATTGATTCCCTAATTTCTCTTTCTTCAGTCTCATTGTTAGTGTATAGATTTCTGTGCATTGATTTTGTAGCATGACA